AAAAAGGGAGTTACTAGTAGGGTGGCCAGATGTCCCGATTTTATAGTGACAGTCCCTATATTTGGGGCTTTGTCTTTTATAGGCGTCTATTACCCCCGTCCCAATTTTTCACACTTGCTGTCTGGTCACCCTAGTTACTAGGGCAGGAGGAAACGCGGGTAATTTATTTAACACAGTGCCCGTTTTTGACCCTAGTGTTTATTATGGTTATTAAGAGCCATGCACGTGCATGGTGCCTTGCCTGTGTAAAATAGAAGGTCCCTATCCCCGTCTGCTGGAAGATATGCAAACGCTGTCTTTTTCACCAATTGAACCTGCCGCAGTGTGCCAGAATGTCCCGCTGCCAGCACTACGTGCCCTATACTGGCTTTCTGGGAGGAGTTCAAAGGGTATGTCCATACTGGCACTGCATTTAGGAACAAGCCTCCCAACTCAGGGCCATAGACTTGCAGTAGCAGCACCCCCTCCCTGGGCTTGAGACCCAGACTTAACCTGAAGGCAATCTATACACCACCATTTTTCAGCATTCTAATACAAGACTTACAAGCTCCAGTAGCACAAGTCTGTGGCCCTGGGTTGTGAGGCTTGTTCCTAAATGCAGTGCCAGTATGGACATACCCTTCAAGTCTCAGTCCCAGGTGTAGCATACGCATAACTGGCTTAGGTCCTTCTTACCTGAGATACTGCCTGTCTCACCATGACATGCTGCCATAGTTTAAATCAGCTGAAGTTCTGGAGGCAGCTGCAGGCTGGGTTTTTTTGCTATACAAGAAAAGGGACTGCTGGCAGGGTGTTCTCTTGCTCACGGCTACCTCTTTCCTTTGGAATGTACTTCTCCCTCCTCTAATCCAGAGTAGCCCAACTTTTGACCTTCAGTGTATGCTGCAAGGCACATCTTTTTCGGAGGCAGTTTGAGGAATCATACACCAAACAATGACCAGTCTCTGTTGTCTTAGTGATATTAGTTTTTAGTTATAGCAGGGATAGGGGTTCTGTCTGTGGACTATTGACAGACAACAGGTCACAAGGGATTGTGAAAGAATCCTCTCAACCTTGTTTTGTAATTTTATTTCATGAAATAAAAACCAGCAACAATGGGAGGTTGTATAACTAGGAAGCATAATGTGTAAGAATATGACTGTATCTTTTAAAACTCTGCAAAGGTGTGAAGTTCAAGCTTTATATCAACAACTTGAGTAGTATAAATTATAACTAATTGTTTTATTAATGATAATTTTTAACTGTTCTACTTCCACAAGCCCTTCATTTAGCTTTTAAATGATTTTTAACAAAAACAACATTAATAGGAAAGTCGAGAGAGAGTTTTAAATCAATGCAAAGAAATATTCACTGTTGGGGGCAGGGGAATAAAACATCCTCAGCAGAAAGATGATGAGCTGGTAAAAGGAGGGAAATCCTATTTCAGATAATACGAATCTTTAGAAGGGGGATTGTGTTGTACTGTGCTGCATAAATTATTGATACATCACAAATAAATGCTTGTGTGAAAATGTATCTGAGCTGGTAAACATTTTAGCTCTTTCATTTATATCATGCTATGGTTTTTGTAAATAGCAAGTTTCTTTAAGTAACAAGTAAAACTTAGCCCTACTTCCCAAGTAAGTAAACTAACTGGTATTTTAGCAGTTACAAATTGTTCTTTGTACATGGCACAATGGTTCCATATGCATCGTTTTAAACTTTTTTTTATTTCATAGGCTGGTCGTCTGCTGATAAGAAAATTAACTGCAGAACAACTATGGATACCTTGGAATGAAATAAACTTGCAAAGGACATCAAAAGGAAAACCCTTCCTGGTGAATGACATACTCGGGATCCATCCCAATTTCAATTTTAATGTCTCTCATCAAGGGGATTATGCAGTTCTTGCAGCTGAGCCTGAGCTTCAAGTTGGCATTGATATAATGAAGACTAATTTGCCAGGTAATGTATTACTGTTACCAAAGAAATTTTAGAGAGTCTAACTATTGAGTATTTTAAGGTTTCCATAAAAGTCAACCAAAGTCCCTGCAATTTAGTGTTATTAAAATAGAGAGAGTTAGCCAGCACTTCTGATTTTTTTTTAAACCATTGATTGAATTTATTTGCTTATTTATTGTTGTAAAGTCTCTGAAGTATATATTGGACGTTTTTGTTGCATTTCTGATTGTGGATCTTTCTATTGATCTTTCCACGTTTGAAATACAACCGTGGATCAGTAAGGCCTTGATCCTGCAATGAAATCAGTAGGAGCAGGCATCTGCAGAAATCTCATTGCAGGAATGGACCCTAGAAGATTTTTAAAATACTAAGCCTCACAGAAGCTTCCAGTTAGCTCATTCATTGGCATAAATCTGAAAGATAACTGGGTTGTAGATTAATGAAATGCAGGACAAAACACTGTAAAAGGAAACAGTCTCAAATGCATTAAAAAAAATGCAATTTTACAAAGAGCACTTCATAAAGATAGCTCAGCTTTAAACATGACTGGAGTAAAGGAGCGAGATACTGGAACTTTTACCAGCAAGTTGTTTTTCTGGCATTTCTTGTGAAGAAAGTTTTTCTGCAGTTTCTCCACAATCTTAAGTTTGTCCAGTATTTTGTGTCACAAGAAATAAAAAATAATGGTAACTTAGGTACAAGTGATCATGACATGATCACATTTATAATATGTTAACAGAATAAAGTTCAGACCAGTAAAGCATATATACTCACACTCACAGACGCTTGGTGCTTTAAAAGGGCCAGTTTCATAAAGCTGAAAACAATTATGAGCCAAATCATTTGGGAGGAAGAATTTAATCAGAAAAATGTGAATGATGATTGGGAATTGCTTAAGAACACTTTACTAGATGCCCAAAAAGCCACAATCGAGGAAGAAGGTTGTATTGTTTTTGTTTTTTAAAGAGCATCTCTAGGGGGGAAGTGAAGGCAGGTAAAAAAAATAATATATAGCAAATGAAAGAAAGGGGAAGTTGATAGTAATAAACATAAATCAGAACTTAGACATTGCAGAAAATTGATAAGGGAAACAGAGGAACTCAAGGAGAAATCTGTGGCCAGCAGAACTAAGGACAATAAGAGAGATTTTAAAAAAAAAAAAAAAAGTATATTAGGGAAAAAGAATCTTAACAAGAGTATTAGTCCATTACTAGTTGGAAATGGTAGAACCAGCAATAATAATGCAGAATATGCTGAAGTGTTCAATAAATATTCCTATTCTGTATTTGGAAAGGGAACAGACTATGTAGTCTCATCATATGATAACACTCTTTTATGGAAAATAGATTTTGTCATACTAATTATATCTTTTTTTTTTAATAAGATTACAAGTTTGGTTGAAAAACACAATAGTGCAGAGGTAATAATCTTAGACCTGTGTAAGGTGTTTGACTTGGTAATGCATAGTATTTTGATTAAAAAACTAGAATGATATACAAATAATTTGGCATATATTAAATGAATTAAAAACTGGGTAATTGATAGGACTCAAAATGATAGAGAACCGTCATCTGGTGGGATCCTGCAGGGTTCAGTTCTTGGCCCTACTCTATTTAACATTTTTATCAATGGCCCAGAAGAAAACAAAATCATCAGTGATCCAGTTTGC